TTATTTATTTTTAAATACGCTCAATTCAGTAACACAATTTTTTTGTTAAAGACTTATAAGTTTATTATTCCAATTATGTTTAACAAGTTTTATAACAAATACGTATAAATAAATGATTTATGAGTATATTAAATTTTTTTTCTTTTGTGCCAAAACTGTAAATTCAAAAAATTTCAAAAAAATAGCACATTCTTATTTTAGCATAATAAATCATTTTATAAAATATAGCTAAAATCGCTCGAGCAGTTTTTTAGTTTTATATGTGGAAAAAAACAGTTTTTCTCGTTTTTCTCAAAAACCACTCCAACTACTTTGATTAAATTTTGGGAAGATACTAACCAATATCTCATATATACCCATGAATTTTTTTGACTTTGTAATTAATTTTTCCGGAGGTCCAGTTAAACCTTAAGAACGACTGACATTTATGATTTTGTAATCTTAACTGTCAAGCTGTCTTTATTTAATGAAAACAAATAAATATAAGCACTTTTTGATAAGCATAAAAGCTAAAAACAAGTATGGGTAATACAATAATTGAAAAAATCTGATGTGTCCACATGACTTTCCTATCTTGTTATTATAGGCTTTTTTCGGTTATTTTGTACAACCTATTGTAACACCTCTATAAATGTTTATTTACTTTTCTCCTAACTTTCATATTTTAAACTAATTATTTAGACATAACTATAATAACGTTCGTCTATTAGTTTCAATTACCTATTAATAAATTAATATTAAAAATCAGAATTTTGCACATTTTGTCAAATTTCTCGAATACGGACCATTTCAGGAAATTTTGACATAAAACAAAAATTATAGATAATAATATTAGAAGTAACTTTTAATTGAACAATTTTCTTCTCCAAACATAAATAACATATATTCCATAAAATATAAAAACGGTCTCCCATAAAGTACCCCCCCAGATGTTCCGACTTTGTCCAAAATCAAATAATTTCACGTCAGGCCGAAATAAACCTTAAGTTTTAAAATTTAATGTTTTTTTCTTTATCCGTTTTTGAGTTTTCTTCAAAATTCGAAATTTACAGATTTTCTCAAATATCTCGAATACGGTCCATTTTAGAGAAATTATGTAAAGAATAAAAATTATAGAGAATTATATTACAAACAACTTTTATTTAAACAAATTTTATAAAAAATTATTTTTTTTACATTTTCTCAAATTTCTCGAATACGGACCATTTTAGGAAAATTTTGCATAAATTATAGATAATTATATTAGAAGTAACTTTTATTTGAAGAATTTTCTTCTCCAAACGTAAATAACAGATATATTCCATAATATATAAAAATGACCACCTATAAAGTACCCCCCCCCCCCCCAGATGTTCAGACTCTGCCCAAAATCTAATCAGCCCATTGGACGCTGAAACAAAGCTTAAGTTTAAAATTTTGTGTTTTTCTGTGTATCGGTTCATGAGTTATGCGTTATACAGACACACACACACACACACACACACACACACACACGCGCGCGCGCGCGCGCGCACGCACGCACGCACGCACACACACACACACACACACACACAAAATATGTACTTGCCTTCATTTGCTTGATCTATATCTAACGCTGACAATCTTATTTTAAAAGTTAGCCCACTTAGAGGTTGGTTTAATAAAACGCATCGAGTTTCTTTATTCATATTATTAAGAATTTTGAGCGAACTTTTCCTATTTCCTTATCTGTTTAATATTAATTAATAATTTAAGGTTATGTCACGTGATCCATCAGTGCATCAACATAACCGAGTCAATGGATTTGGTGACAACCATCTGACAATTAGGTTGAATTTAAAATTTTGATATATGAGACTCGTCTAAAAAAATTTGATGGATAAAAGAACAATTTTGATGAAATCTAGATGGCATCGATGAATATTAGAAAACGCCTACATCGGACAACAGCGCTTTATTATTCGAGCGAGAATAAATAATACATATCTTTCATTTATCCTCTATTACTGTAGGTAAGACAAGAAGAGGTTGTTTTTAGACAGCTCGACAGCTCTGTTCGTCATATGTCATTAATAAATCGCGGGAGAAAGGGAAAAACCGTACTTTCTATTTTTTTTTTTTTTTTTTTTTTTTTAGTTGATTTGTGTTTGTTTTAGTATTTTCTGTTCTATATTGCATTTCTCTATCTTTTTTGCGTGATTGTTCAAAAATAAAATATATGTAGGTACGAATCCTTAATATACGTACAAATATTTCCATATTTTCTAAAATAAAAATATCGTGGTAAGTAATATTGGCTTTTTTTTTTGTTGAACTCCTTACAAATAGTATACAAAACGTACCGAGTCCGTCACTGCCAATTCAATCAACAAGATTTATTAATGATAGACACAATTAACTCACCTTTCACGCAAGATCGCCAAACGCCAACTGATTTTCACTGCTGTGTCTTTCATGTTTGGAATTTAACAAATCTCACATTCACATTCAATACTTATTTCGCTTATTCGACTATTTATATCGACAGACATGATAAATTAAAAGACAAATCAACCGGCTATCTGCATCGTAATTAACTAAACTACCTGTAGTCTGTTGTAGTAACTTCAAGATTTAACATTTGCGTTTTGTGTTGCTCGAAAATCTAACCTCTAAATTAGAAATTAAGTAGGTATATTTTTTATAGACGTGCTACCTATATTTGTACACAATTGAAATACTGAAAACTATCAAGTTTTAAAGTTTATGAACATGAACGACGACGCCAAGCACTGAACACTGAAGTAGCTAAAATAAAAATAACAAATAACTGTTCTCGTAGTTCCCAGAATAGAATAAAACTTTAATAAACGATTAGGTGGGACAATGAAGCCAGGTGTGGACTGGACAGAATTAAGGATTTATTAAAACGTAGCAAGTTTATTTTTAATATTGATAAAAGAGGAACATGAGAAACGATCAAATGAATTTAAAATAAGGAGTGAGGTGGGTGTGAAACAAGGGCAATGGTTTAGCCGATTACTCTCAGACAGTGATATAATCATCAAAAATATAAAGGAAAGGGAAAAACAAAGACATTAAAAATAGTGGCAAATGATTAGTTTGAATTTGTACTTGCTCCGTTTTGGAGGTTCCATCCATATCTTCGGATTCACCCGACTGTGGCGCACCGACTTTATAAGAAAGAATTATTAAAACTTCTCTTACATAATGTCTTACAGAGGCGGCTCAAGCAGACCGAAGAAAGCCAAAATAGACGTAGGCGAAAATGCCAAACTGGAGGGAGTTATCGCAGATTTGCAAAAACCAGATATATGACCCCAAATAAAAGTGTAGTTATACGAAAACTGCAAGACGAGAACTAACACCTTAAAATCGAAGCTATAAACTTCTCGATAGACAAAAGCTCAAATGAGAGCGAAAAAGAAAAAGAGAGCAACGAAAATTACTTTAACCAAGTAATTTCTAATACACAACGAAAGATTATTAACAGAAAAACGAAAAGAAAAACAAAAACAACCAAGAAACAAAAGGAGATAAAATCTAAAAGATCTAAAAGAATAACCGAAAAACAAACAAGGACATAAAATACCGCCAATCCAACTTGAAGTCAAAAGCTGGAGCAATGTTAGGATAGTCTTAAAGCCCAAGGAGATAAAAATGGAAAGAAATTCATAAAGGAATGTTATAGTACTGCAATAATATTAATAAATTTCTAACCAGAAATTACAATATTATTAAGTCATAGTATCCTATTTCATAAAGTCGTACCGCAGCTCTCGTCTTATGCTGAGACATCATTCTTCGCGGAGAGCAAGACGTGCGGAAGCAAAAAGTGTTGACTTGGATTTGGTGCAAGCACGAAGCCAAGAAAAAGCCAGTAGAGAAAACGACTTAGTTAGTGATACGTTTATATTTTCTTTTTTTTACCGCTGAGTCGAAGTAGAATTACATGCGATCTTTTGTTTTATTAAAATTAAATTAAACAAACACCGTTCAAACCGGAACAGGAACGATGAAGTTAAAAATATAGGTAACCGCCGACGCGACGGTTACAGACAAACCGCTGCATATCTCGACATGATGGATTACCACTTTTACTGCAACAAACTACACCAGGACAAACCGTATAAAGCCGTTATACGAGTACGAGGTTTACCCGAGCACACACTGGTGAACGAAATCACAGCCGAATTAATCGACACCGGACTGATCCTAGTAAAATTACAAGATAAGAGGTCGAGAAGGAAACAGGGAACACCCGCTGTTTCTTCTTGACATTAACCAAAAAGAAAAAGACCTAAAACGAGAATTTGACAGATATCTGGGACTAGTGATTAGTGGTTAGAGTAACCAGTAAAAACAGCAACAATATCAACTCAGTCTTATATATGTCAGGGTTTTCACCACGCGTAGTCAAATTATAGGATGGGCATCAATTGTATTAAATGCGGAGGAGACCACAGAGCGAAAGAATGCCTCAAACCAACATCAAGATTTGAGGACCTGTAGCGGAGTAAGCAGGTGGAAAGATGGCAGGGTCAAGCAGGTTCTGATTCAGCATACCAAATAAGAACTTACTCGACTCGGACCTCAGTAAACTGTATCTGGGTCGCAGTTAAAGGCGATGAGATATTATCACTCATTTTCAAGCTAACCTAACCTCCTTGAATTCCAATATTATTTCTCTCCAAAACCAAGTTCGGCATCCCCTAAGATTATCATACTTAAGCCTTAAATTAAAATGGATTGGACGTATTGAATTTATTTATAAAGAATATACAGTCTATTCGCTATACTTACGCGTGTTTCGGATTAACAATATTATGCAAATTAGTCATTGACAACCAGTTCCAATAAGCCTCTTCCCAAGAAATTAGGTTTAATTGCCCTTATGGTCAGATTTAAATTAAAATAACATTAGGGTAGGTACTAAATTTGTTACAAATATTGCAGTTAAATTGATTCTTTGCAAGTGTTGACATTGTATGTATATTGTAAATTTAGTGGAAATTTTAAAAATGCCTAGACGTGTGTTAGATGTAGATAGTCTAATTTGTAGTGTACATAAGTATTTTACGGATGAAAAAGAAAATGGCGGTCCTTTAAAATCGGTAATGTCTGTACAACAACGCGTATGCGATGCTCTAGTACAGGGATGGGGAAACTACGGCCCGCGGGCCATCTCCGGCCCGCGAAGCGTTGAAATCCGGCCCGTGACTGTCGTGAACATTAAACAAAAAATCAAGTGAATTTTTCATATTGTAGAAATTTCATATTTCATTCTTATTGACAGAGCGCGTCTCGCATAAAACAATCACGTGTATTATTTCACGAGCACGGGCGGTAAACGAAAACCGAAAATGAAGCTATCGACTGGGCGCGCGCGGTCCGACCGCCGCCGCAGTCAAAGTTTTGTCTTACTTCAAATCGCATGTTCGTACGCCGTATTTTCTTACTTACGAAACTACAACAATCAGCTAACAGACGGTGACATTTTTAAATCAGCAAGGTAAGATGTTATCACGTACTTTGTCATCACTTTTTGTGTCTTGAAATGATTTGATTATAAAATATGTTTGGGCGATGTATTGATGTTGGCTTTATTGTTTTGTTACAGCAGCAAAATGACGACCAAAAAACGAAAAGTCGATTCTGAGTGTCGAGTTTTTAAAGAAGAATGGTCATGGAAATATTTCTTCACAGAATTTAAAGACAAACCAGTTTGCCTCATTTGTAATGAAACAGTTGCAGTTTTTAAAGATTTTAATTTGTCTCGACACTTCTCAAAAAAACATGCAAGTGCAAAATATTTATCTATGACGGAAGTAGAGAAAAAGTCTTTTGTTGAAAGGCAAAAAGAGAAGTTACGTGGACAGCAGAACATGTTCACAAAGCAATCTGTTACTCAGAAGGCTGCAACACTGGCAAGTTATGTTGTAGCTTACAAAATTGCTAAAAGTAACAGAACATTATCGGATGGTGAATTTGTAAAAGATTGCATGGTGGCTGTAAGCAACATTATTTGTCCAGAAAAAAGTAAAGAGTTTCAATCTTTAGCTTTATCACGGAGAACGATAACTGATCGAATTGACGCCATCGCTAAACAATTATCGTCACAGCTAGAAATGAATTGTAACAAATTTGAATACTTTTCTCTAACCATGGATGAGAGCACAGACATGAACGATACTGCCCAATTGCTGATTTTTATTAGAGCAATTGATTCAGAGTTCAACATAACCGAAGAATTAGCATGCTTACAATCCTTGAAAGGAAAAACAACTGGAAAAATTATTTACGATTCTTGTTTTGAGGGTATTTCAAAGTTTAACTTGCCTATGGATAAATTATGTAACATAACCACGGATGGAGCACCCAATATGGTGGGAAGCCATTTGGGGTTTATGGGTATATTTTGCAAAGAAAATCCTAATAATAATGTATTATTTCTGCATTATTTAATACACCAGGATGTGTTGTGTAAAGCAGCTATTGACATACAACCCGTTTTGAGTGTGGTTGTTAAACTTATCAACACAATACGTTCACAGGGTTTGATGCATCGACAATTCCAAGAATTTCTAAAATCCACCGAAAGCGAGTTCTCTGATATCCTTTACCATACTAAAGTGAGATGGTTAAGCTGTGGTAATGCATTTGAGAGAGTGTGGAACTTAAGAAAGGAGATTCAAGACTTTCTGACGGAGCAAGGTAAATGGGACGACTTTAAGATCATGGCTGACGAAAATTGGCTTCCTGATTTCGCATTTTTCACAGATTTGCTGTCACACCTAAATAAATTAAATACGAAGCTTCAGGGAAAGAATCAATTCTTAGATGAGCTTTGGGGACATTTAAAAGCCTTCAAATTGCAGCTTAAATTGTTTTGCAGTTGTGTAGAGAAAAATGAACTTACCCATTTTCCCAAACTGAGCAGCATATCACCTGTCTCAGACGACAAGATAAATAGGTTCGCTCAACAACTGAAGAAACTGCACGAGGAATTTGAGAAGCGATTTCAAGATTTTAAGAGAATTGAGCAGTCACTAAATATTTTTTCGATGCCTTTTAATGTTAACGTTGATGAAACACCCGCTAACCTCCAACTTGAACTAATTGAGATGCAATGCAATACCCATCTGAAGCAACTATTTCTCAACACCAACAAATTGGAATTTTATAAGTCCATATCTAGGACACAATACCCAAATATAGTTGCCCACGCTCAAAAAATAATGGCTATGTTTGGTACAAGCTATTTGTGCGAACAAACGTTTTCAATAATGAAACTAAGAAAAAATTGTCTTCGTAATAGGCTTTCGGATGACCACCTTTTTTCACTGTTAAAAATTTCAGCATCACAAATGGAGCCGGCTTATGATGACATCATGCAGAAACAAAAACAGTTCCACATGTCACATGTCCCTACAAAGACCAGCGCTCCTCATCCTTCTACTTCGCAGACAACTTAAAAGTTTAATTTAATTGCAATTTCTTTCTTGTATTAATATTTTGTATTTTGCACAATAAATTAGTGTTTCAGAAAATACATATCATAATTTTTATTTCAATAAATAATATAGCCAAAAAAATCAACAACCTGGCCCGCCATATATTTCGTTAGTAAATATTGGCACGCGGAGGAAAAAGTTTCCCCATCCCTGCTCTAGTAATTAGTGAAACCAAATTAAGAGGCGTATTACAAAATCACAATAGTGAACTGCCGACAGAAGATCACCGCAAAACTCGCCCATCATTGAAAACGAAAGATATTTCAGATGGAACGAAATTTGAAATTCGTGATACCATTTATCGAATGAGGGCCAACAAGGAACATGTGACCTTAAATACAATTCTCTCGGAATTAATAGATAGAAAATTTGACGACATTGGCAGAACAAGTCTATCGCAAGTGATACATAACTTGGGTTTCAAATTTCAAAAGGAGGATAACAGAAAGGCCCTTTGTGAAAGAAGTTCTGTCGTGCACAAGAGAATTAACTTTCTAAGAAAATATTCTAAATTTAAAGAAGAAGGGGCGAATTTTATATTTTAAGACGAAACATGGATATTTTCTACAAGTGCAACCAAGAGAATATGGCAAGATGATAACGCAAAGTCCATCAAACATACCGATGGAGAAGGGAAGCGACACATAATTTTACATGCAGGAAGGAAATCGGGTTTTATAGAAGGTGCTGATTTAATATTTTCATCTAAATCAAAATCCAGTGACTATCACGATAATATGAACACATAAATGTTTGTAAAATGGTTGCATGAAAAACTTCTCCCAGGTTTAAGTGAGCCCAGCGTAATTATTTTAGACAATGCACCTTACCATTCTGAAGTATGAAACAAAAGTCCAACGAATTCTTGGACTGTTGATAAAATTAAAGAAGGGTTGACAAAGGAACATATATCATTTCCTCTATATATATATATTAAAATCAGAATTATTACGGTTGGCAAATATACACGCAAAACCAAAAACCTTTGTTATGGATCAGATTATTGAAAGTTACGGTCATCAAGTTTTTACGTCTGCCACCGTATCATTGCCAGTTTAATCCCATCTAATATATAGGGAATAGCAAAACAATACAATCATATTCGTCCTAATGGTTATAGTGACGACGCAGTTCGGGAAACTTGACGAAAAGCACTTTCAATTGCAACTCCAGAAGTGTGGCGGAACTGTATATCCAAGTCCGAGAAACTAATAGAAGATTGGTGAACTCGTGAAAATAAAATAAACTAAATAAGTCCAATCATAATAACAATTAATGGTGATGACAGTGATGATGATGACGATTATGATATTTTGGATGATAATGACTGATTTTCATTTTTGTTGGCAAGTTCAATTTTTTAATTTTTCATTTTAAATTCTCTACATGGAACAAATTTTTATGTTAGAAAATATTTTATTTGAGCTAAATAACATTCTTATTATATTTTTTTTTTTTTTTAAAGAGTAAAACCAAATTTGGTAGATTTTCACACTTTTATTTTAAAAATAAATTTTTTTAAAAAAACACTAACATGACATATGTTTCGAAGTACAACTTCTTTTTCAAATGTGACTATTTACAATTCGGTATCCAATATATATACGAAATAATTTAACAAAACAAAGTACTTAAGAAAACATCAATAACATTACAAAATAAACTAACTATTTAAAGTAAATAAGGGTACTTAGGTAATTATAATATCCATCAGATAACAATAAGATAGCCCATTACCGGGATTATCTCACAGAAAACTGGGAAAGAGATTTAATAAGGGTGAATTATTAATATCTAATTGATCATTTAGTAAGTTATCTGAATTTTTAAATCTATTTATTTCAAGTGTTTCTAAATGGTTTAATTTAAGGCTCTTATTATAATATTATAATTATAATATCTAATTGATAATTTAGTAAGTTATCTGAATTTTTAAATCTATTTATTTCAAGTGTTTCTAAATGGTTTAATTTAAGGCTCTTATTATCAAGTAAAGGCCGAAACAATAAATAATTCTTATTATACATAGACCATATTTTCTGTGTGAAGTGTAATATAAAATTATTATTATTAGGTTTATAATAGCCACATTAGACTCCATTAATGAAGAAGTTTAATTCTGCTCTCAATTATACAAAAGATTCTCATTATTTAATTAAAAAGTTGTACATTATTTTTCATTTCATTTAACCAGTTGATATTTCCCCAAAGAACAGATCAAACTTTCGGGTACTTACCTGAAAATACTCGTAAAATTTTTAATCCGAAACCCGCGTAAGTATAGCGAACAGACTGTACTAACATATTATGGAGTGGTACTCAAAAAATGTAAAGTAATGTAAAGTAGACCTTGGAAAAATTAACGCAAGTAGTCTTCTCTTCTTTTTAAGTGTCAGTTACGATATTCAGAGCTGTGCATAGTTATGATTCGTATCATTTGTTTTTTGCCGGTCATGGCCTACTTTAGATACTTTTTTTAGATTACCGTTTACTTTATCATTATTATTAATATTTTTAGTAGGCTCCGTTTCACGAGAGAAGAACCCAGCTGAAGTTGCAACAATGACAGTCGCAGAAACCAAATTATGTCTTGTTTACCTACGTCGCCTAGTAACGACAGGGTCTCGCCACTGGCGTAGAACGAACATTTTTATGCAAATAGTCATTTATTTATTTGTTAGCGATAGCGATACGTTAGCGTTTGACATTTGAAGTTGTGTTTTTGGAATCGTATGTTAAATATTTTTGATTTTCGACTATTTTAAGACATTTGTAAATGATAAAAATGATTAGCGATAGTAGTCTCTAAACGTGCATGCTTATTTATTAAATAATAAAATTTGGCAAATCACACAAAAAATTTAGTATCTTAAAGTTTATTAGTTGTTATCTTAGAAAGGTATAGGGACCGTGCGTGAAATATAGAGGCAGCACTACTGCCGAACTTAGCCCTCTCTAGTGTTTAATTTTAGAATTAAATGGGGTAAACATTGCAAGTAAATAATAAAGGGTATTTTTTTAAATATTAAATATAGTTAAAAATAGATACCGGCCCGTACCAAACAATCGTGTACATGGTCAAAATGACGTAAAATGTGAAACATTATTAAAATCTGGACATGCATATACATTTTAAGCAAAAAGATTTAAATGGCTAAGTGACAATAAATTGAAAAGTTGTACCTTAAACAAGAGTATCCAATGTCTAAATATCGGTATTTAGTAACACTGAATTTAAAAGTGTTATATTATGCTGCTTATGTTTATTCCTTATGTATGTTCGCCCTGTATGTATGTTAACCCAGTATGTACGTTTATCCTGTATGTATGAGTGTTTGTCAGATCCTTGTCAGTTTGATACTTTACGTTTTAGCATCTTTCATATATGTTATAGTTTAGCGAATTAAAGCCTTAGTAAGAAGAGGTTTGTTTCATTACAAAAAGTATTACAATAACATTTAAAAAATGTAAATTAATAAAAAAGATTGATAATAATAATAATAATAAATCTTTTTAGCTTTATGTTAATCGAAATGTCATTCATCCACTGACGTTTATGAGATGTTCAATGATACATATTATAGATTGCTCAACCATCTATAAAAAAATTATAAAAAGCGGGTTGCAATGTGCCTTTCCTAGTGCTCACTAAATAGAGCCGTTCTAGCCCAAATGTGTTTTAAAATAAAATTTCAGAATTTTAATCTTTAGAAAAAGAAAATAATTAAAGTTTTACGACTTCAAGACATGTTATTATGTATTTAGAAAGTTGAGTTTTCATGTAGTTAAATAATATTAAGAGATCTAAACAATTTTTATAACAGATGGATATAAATAATTTTAGACTACTATTTCAGAAACAATTCTACATGAAATACATAATTGCAATATGTAATACAATTTTGAAAAGGTAATGTAAACAATTTTGATATAAGGTATAAACAACTTTGGTAAGAGTTGTAATTGGACACTTATCTATTATTCTGAATAATGTTTAATGGTAATGTCACTAAAAAAATTTACAAAAAGTCACTGGATTTTTAATATTTTAAAGTTTGTCCAGTGAAATACGCTTTTCGTCATCTGATTTACATTTGGATAAGCAATCTTTGTAATTATGTATATCATTGGGTGTGAGGCATAATTGTGCTCTGTGGAAATTTATAAAATTTCTTTACTATCGAATGAAATCCAGGTTTCCAAAGTGATGTGTTTGTACATCCACGGATGCAATAAGTTTTTTCGATATTGATATTACGAAAATTATTCGACTTCATTTTATTAATAATTATTAAACAATAAATGCCGTATAAAACATTAATAAATACCCCCCATAAAGTTCACATTTTTGTCACCAGTTAGCGTTAAAGTCATGACGCACGGTCCCTATGGTCCATTGTAAATTTTGACACTCCTCGTATGACACGTCCCATTTTATATCATAATCGATGTTGTTTTTAGAGAGCCACTCCTTATGTCTGCTAATTTATGAATAGTGTGTCTAGTCAATACCAGCAGGATGAGACTAAAAACAGATCATAATTGGACGCTTAATTACGTTTCTGTTTTTTATCTTTTTGAGGAAAAATAATTATCGATCATCTATTATAATTAGATTTAATAACCGTAATTAATAATGGAACAATAAAAAAATTAATATTATAAAAAAAAATAAGTGAATAGAGTGAAATATGATACAACTTGTTGTTACAAAGAAATTTGGAAAAATGGCATCAAATTATCATAACCTTCAAATAAAATAGAAAAATCAAAATCAAATGGTAGGTATAATCAGTAGATAGAAGAAAACTAGAAAAAAATTAAAAAAAATTATCAAAGCTGAAATAAACAATTACCACAGACTTTTATTACGATAAAGGGTTTTGTCTTTGTAAAGGGAACGAAAGTGCTATGAGCCATTACTTTTGTAAAAATACGAATAAAAAAAGGAAATTTTCCAAAAATATTCAAAGTTAGTCCTAGAACTTCTAAATGTTTGAGATAGTAGAAAAATTAACTAATGGGAAATGAAGAGAAAACTGAAAAGTAATTTTGTAAGTTTAATAGCCGAAACAAATACAAGTGAAAAATTTTTGGAATAACAAAGAAAATAAACAGAGAAAATCGGTTGAGATCAGAAAAACTGATAATGCAGTTTTGGAAATATGAAAATATATAATTCCCAATTCCCCTTACGAAATTATGAAAAATACACCCACAAACTGAAGAAAAACTGAAAAAGCTGAAAATTCAATTCTCAGCTTTTTGACCAGAGAAATATTGTGCCATCCTAATTAAGATATATTTTAAGGGACACAGAAGGGTATATCCACTGTTGCCATATGCACATTTCATTATTCTCGTTTTGTTTACAAAATTATTTACATACATTAAAAAAGCTAAAATAATTCAAACTATTTTATTGCAACTGAACCCAAAAATTTGTGAATCATTAGTTATATTAAATTTAACTAAATTAGATGTATTTTCTTGTTAGGTTGGAAGTGGCAACAGGGCTTACAGCTGCATGGATATTTACGTTGTTTATTATAAGCGCACAGCGGCTTACACATTTAAAAATAAGTTGTGTCTGCGTAAAATTCTTCTCTTTATCCCCTCCCCTTTCTTACTTCTTACCTTTCGTCTCCTCGCCGCGTCCCTACAAATAGAGTGTATCGATTGTCGAATTAATTTTTTTTTTTTTTTTTTTTTAACTAAGTTAGTGGCACTGGATATAAACCAACAGGCC